GTGTGGAGCGATAAAGATTTGTCAGTTAGTCCTTGGGGATAAAGAAAGAGGAGATGCGCAAAGGTTTCCAATGATTGAAGTGCAACATTTAGACGGTTTGATCAAAAGCGATTGACCAAATTGAGTTCTTCAAGGACACACCCACAGCACTGCTTCCATGATTGAGATGATGCTGTACATATCTTAGAGTATATAGTCAAGGAAGTACAGAGGTGGAGCAATCTTTGGACCTTGTCACTGCCAGGAGAAAACGATGATAGACTGACTACAAATGACCGTATTAATACATTTAAGGGGTGAGAAAAAGGTTAGTCACGTATCAGGTGAAAAAAAAGTAAGGAAAAAACGACTTCTGTGAAGTTCAGCTTACGGAAATTTCAAAATTTCTCAAAAAGAAACTAGACATTGTAGCTCTGATGGAATCATTCCACGTTGAGAACCTCCCTGTTGTGCCTGTTGTGGGTAGTAGGGGGTAGTTACTGGGAGTAAGTTAGCTTATAATGGTCATTTAAAAACTCAATTATATATAGATATTAGATCGTAATTCGACCTTGACTTACATCTCTCACTACGCTTTGTACGGATGCAGGATTATGCATTACACTGGTAGATTCCTCGGTAAAGCTAGCAGAGCGCCCGAGTGGAGCGCCATGCTTCGGAATTGCTAATCCTTTCGATCCTGAGGGGGACTCTCCAGCATCCGATGTAGATTTTGAGCCCGATATCGGCATGTTACCGCTCCTTGTTGGAAGCGGTGAGCGCAATTTTCGCTGAGGTATGGAAGATTGCCCTCCACATTCTGATTGGCCTCTTTCACGTGGAGAGCTGGAAAGCTCCGACTGACGATGTTTTGACGCAGTGGAATGCGAGAACATCTCGAATACAGCATTCTTCGTGTGCGGAAGTTCATCGTCGTCATCTTCTTCTGGTGGTTCAACAGTCGGCAAAGTGGGTCGACGCACGGAAAGTCGCGTCCACACACGACCAAGTCGCTCCATTCAT